CTCAGGACCTCTGGAAGTGCAGTCAGTGCTCTTAACCACTGAGCCATCTCTCCGGCCCTTTAATAGTCATTCTTAAATATTTTATTTTTTCAATACTAAGTAGAACCAGTTTTAAATTTTATTTTGAATTCCTGATAGCTAATATGTAGAAATAAAATATTTATATTTTTTTTATATATCAATCTGGTAGTCTGTGACTGTCCTCAGTTGTTAGTTATTCTAGTTAGTTATTGTATAGATTCCTTAAAGTGTTGTAGATGCAAGATCATATGATAAAAGCATTTGTCATTTTTTTTAATCTGGATGTATTTAATTTTTAATTAATCTCTTTTATGCTCTGATTTATAGCATAGAATTGAGTAGACATGGCAAAAATGTGTATCCTCTCTTTGTTCCTGATCTTAGAGGAACTTGGCATTTAGTTTTTCCACCTTTAAGTGTAATCATTGCCTGTGGGTTTTCGTCTGGCTGGGGAAGTTCCTTTTTAGTAGTACTGTAAGTTGTTTTGATGACTATTGGATTTTGCCAGTTGCCTTTTGTGTTAGTTGTGCTGGTACATTTGTACTTCTTCTGCTTCTGTAGTATACTGTTAACTAGTAAGCCTTCCTTGCATTCTTGGGATAAATCAAACCCCACCACCTTATATAGGCTGGAATGACTTCAAACTCATTCTCTTTCCCCAGCTGCCAGAATGCTGGGGCTGCATCATACCTAGCTGTAGATGTTTTCATGTGTTGTTAATTGCAGGGCACTTTCTTAAGGATATTTCCATCTGTGTTTATGTTAAAAATATGATTAATTTGTTTGGTTATGGTATATGCTTAAAACAAAACAAACAAAAAGACAGGGTCTCATTGTGTAGCTCTGGCTGTCCTGGAACTTGCTGTGGACCAGGCTGGCCTCAAACTCACAAGATCTTCCTGCTCTGCTGCTAGAGTGATGGGATTGAAGATGGGCCACAAGGCCCACTGGTATATGTTTTCAAACATTTAAACAAACAAGAGTAGACTATACAAACATAAACAAGAATCATTTTTTCATACCTAAGAATCTGTGTTGGCAGTACCTGGGTGATAGATCTACCTCTCCTGTTGCTAATTGTTCTCTCCAAAGATGATAAAGTTTATCTCATCTAGCATTCTGTGACTTTGTTTTGTTTCTAGACAGAGCTTCTCTGTGTAGCAGCCTTGCCTGTCCTGGACCTTGCTTTGTAGTCTAGGCTGGCCTCAAACTCAGAGATCCTCCAGCCTCTGCCTCTCCATTGCTAGGATTAAAGGAGTGCCCTACCACACTGGTTATACTCTGATTTTTTTTTTTTTAAGTTAGTGATGCTGATAAATAGAAAATAAGATGCTGGGTGTGGTAGCACACTTAATCCTAGCACTCGGGAGGCAAAGACAGTTGGATTTCTCTGACGGCCAGTGCTGGTTACACTGATGGTCTTGAAGTATCATTTTGTGTTTTACTATTTGAACTGTCTTTTTCAGTGCTCTAGCCTTGTACATGTTAGGCAAGTTCTAAACTTGAGCTACAGCCCGGATGCTATGGTTTTATTTTTAAACTGTCAACTCCTTTAGTTTAAAATTATTTGCCCTTTATTATTTTGTAAGAATTCTTGATATATCGAAGAGTCCTTTGTCATGTTTGTGATAAGTACTTTCTCTCAATTTTTTTTCCTTTTTATAAAACTATTTACTTGTGTATGTGTATATGTGTATTTATTCATGCATGTATCTGTGTGAGTTTATGCACACCATATGTGTGCAGATGCCTAGGAGGCCAGAGGGCATTGGATCCTCTGGAACTAGAGACAGACGCCATTGTGAATTCTAAGTAATGCCACAGCTCCTACTCCTTACCCCCAGTTATGAAGTGGGAATACAAGTTTCTACAGGAAAAGAACCTAGAGCTGTGCCTGGCACATAATTAGCATTCAGTAAATGCTACTATTTTTTGCTACATCATACATTCTCATCATCTTGTATTAAAACTCACCTGTCTCAGCAGAGTATACATATTCCATTACATTTGGGTTGCATGGCCTGGAATAAGTTATTGTTTCAGGGAGGGGAGTTGATACGGGGTTTCCTATAGCCTAGTCTGGCCTAAAACTCACTGTGTATCTGAAGATAATCTTGAGCATTTATTTCTCCTGCCTCTTATCTCCCAAGTGCTAGGATTAGAGGCATGTGCCACCACCCCTGGTTTTATGTGATGCTGGGGGTCGAACCCAGGGCTTCGAATATACTAGGCAAGCACTCTATACTAAATCACATCCATAGACCCCAAGTTATTTCATCTCTCTATGTCACACTAACTGGCAGTTCACTGCAAAAAGGGCAGAAGTGTACAGGCAGTTGTCATTGCGACAGAAGCAAACGAGTGTGGGAGATGCTTAGCACAAGGCAGCAGCAAGGTGAATAGACGGAAGCTGCTTCCTGTGCAGGGCTGGCAGTCGGTGTACCTGGTAGGTATTGGTGACTGGTTCCTGTTGGTTTATAGTGTTGCCTTCCTGCTGGGAGGAACATGAATTTCACTGTTTATTTTTGGGTTTTGTTTGTTTTGGGAGGAGAAAGGGCCTCCTTGGTTTTAGACTTTGGAGCCACAGTGTGTTGAAATCTTCTGAGATTTCCTTTTTACTCCTCGGCAACCTGAGCTCCCAAGGGAGCCTTGAGCCGCCGGGGGCAGTGTTTCTCAGTTAAGTCCGAAGGTTCTGTTTCTACAGAGCAGCTTCTTAGATTTAATTGGCTTGATAAAGCTAAGATTGTAATCCACTGCCCCTGCTTCAAATCTCTTATCAGATTGGGCCAGGCTTCTTAGGAGGGAAAATTCAGAACACATTTTCTTTATGTTAACAGGAATAGTGGGCATAGTGCCTTACGTGTAAGAGGGGTGGCTTGGGGCTGGAGAGGAGGCTCAGTCAGTAAAATGTTTGCCATGCAAGCATGAGGACCCTGAATTCCTGTCCCCAGAACCCACAGGAACAGTGAGCAGTCACAGCAGCACATACCTGAGCCTAGTCTAGCTCAGTCCATGAGCTCCAGCTTCAGAGAGATCTTGTCTCAAAGAAAAGGTGGGGAACAAGTGGGAAGACACTGGATGTTAAACATGTGAATACACACACACATTATTAAAAAGAATAGTTGGGACTGAGAGATAGCTCAGAAGTTAGCTCTTCCAGAAGACTGTGGTTCATTTCTGTAACTCCATTTCCAGGGGATCTGACACTTTCTTCTGGCCTCCACTGGCATCAGGCACACATATGGTACACAGAAATATATATATAGGCAAACACCCATATTATAAGAATAAGAATAAAGAATAGTGACATAGAGGTCAGTAAGCAGTTTTGAATACACATTGATTTCAACCCCACTTCTACTACATGAATTCCTTGTCATAAACAAGGACATAGCAGTGTTGATTGGCCAGACTACATAGCTGAAGAGTGGGATTCTATGCCCTACCCGTATCTTAGGGCCCCAAATTTAATACCTTCTTTGCATATGGCATCCACCTCCCTATTGATCGTCACCGTACACTTTTAAGCCTGGCCAGATAGAGTTAGAGGCCTGTACTTCCCATCCTACCAGGAGTAGTTCACCCTGAATGTTAGGTTATCATGCATGCTTAGCCTTTAGCAACTTGTAAAAGTGTACACTGATTCAGTAGACCCAGGGCATAACCTGAATAAGTGTCTGTTCTACTAACAACCGTCCAGAACATGCTGTTGCTGCCACTGTTCTCCACAGATTTCACCTTGAGTTGTGAGCACATAGAGACCTTCTAAACATACTGAAACTAGGACACTGATTTCCAGAGATTCAGGATGATCCATAATTTAGATGAAGCACACAGGCATATATCTATGAGCTTGAGTCCAGCTCAGTCTACACCAAAGTTCCAGGCCAGCCAGAGTTACTCAGTGAGACCCTGTCTGAAAATAAAAAACAATGGCCATAATAATAATCTGAATGAGACCTCAGCGTTGATTGAATGTTTTGTTTGGGGATCGAGGGACGGGGTGAGACAGGGTTTTTCTATATGTTCCTGGCTGTCTTGGATCCTATATAGACAAGACTCTTTTTGAACTCAAAAAGACTGCCTGGCTCTTCTTCTTGAATGCTGGGATTAAAGTCGTGTCACAACACAGCACACCACCCCCCACCACCAATCTCATGCAGTGCAGGCTGTCCTGGAACTTGGGATCTTCCTCCCTCTAATTGCTAAATACTACTAGGTGTGCATTACCATACCTGGCTAATTGTTTTCCTAAATTGATGTCAATATATAATTCTATAGAAACATTAGAAAGAACAGATACTCGAGGCCAGCCTGGTCTACAGAGTGAGTTCCAGGACAGCCAGGGCTACACAGAGAAACCCTGTCTTGAAAAAATCAAAAAAAAAAAAAAAAAAAAGAACAGATACACAGAAGAAAAAACTATCACTTAATCCATTCAACATTCTGGTACAGGCCCTTCCTTCTACATTTTTGTAGAGTAGCTATATCTTAACATGCCTAGCACTCACATAGTGGCTCACAGCTTCCAGGGGATCTGACACTTTCTTTCTTACCATGTCTTCAGGGGCTAGAGAGATAGTTCAGTAGTTAAGAAGGCTTGCCACTCTTCCAGAGGACTGTAAAATAAAAACAAACAAACAAACAAAAACTTAGGAATAGAATTGCTGGGAACTCTTCCAGAAATGCCCCAGTTTGTAGTCCGCCCACCATATGAGAGCACAGAGTGGCATTCTAATATCTCAGGCTGGCAGCAGTGCCATGCTTTCTCTTACTTCCAGATAGTAATTATTTGAACCATCGTGTTGCCCATTTCCGGAAGTGTAGAGTTTTGTGCCTTGTAGTGTTCTGGGAAGGCATTTGGGGGGCAACCACACAAGGGCCTCAGGCCTCTTAGAACAGAGGTTAAGTTCCCACTTGATCTGCCCTGCAGGAAATTTTACTTCTCTTCCCATTCCAACTGTAGTCTCTTTCCCCAGCAGATGTGGCGGCTGAGGTTCCTGCTGCTTCTCTGTCTGACGTGTAAAGGAAGCACCTTCTATGTCCCTGGAGTTGCGCCAATCAATTTCCACCAAAACGACCCAGTAGAGATCAAGGTGAGTGAGTGTTTGGATCTCAGGAGCACCTATGCCTAGCAGCCTGGCTGGAGGACTGTCTGAGCTGTTTGTGTCCGTCCTGGAGTTGTAGAGAAACAGACGAGGCCAGCTCCCCTGGGAAAAAGAGGGTTGACTCCATACTGCATGGTTGTCTGTAGTTCTACCTCTTCATTGCTTCCTCCGGGTCTCTCTCCTCACTCTCACTGTTGGATGAAATGTGTCACATGCTGCCCCACCCATCTGTATGGTGCTCCACTTGCTTTCTTCTTCCTCTGCTTCCCTCTCTCATCTGCTCCCTCCTCCTTTCAGTATGAGCTTTCTGAGTAACACAGCAGCTGTTCAAATGTCAGTGTAGCTCTCTTTTTTACACCTTGCAGAAAAAACATTAAAGTAACATTTACTAAGGGTTATTACATGCCGTGCATTGGGCTCTGCTTAGCTCAAGGGATATTTGTTTCACAGATTTTCTGTGTATTTCACAGATACAGAAAATAATGCAGCAAAGAAGTGATCCAACTGATCATATGCAGAGAAATGCAAACACTGACACCAAGTGAGACATAGGAAGTGAATTCACAGGAAGTGAATACATGGCACCATGTCAGTCAATACTTCACCCAGGGCCCTTGGGAAACTTTGGATATTAGAGCTTTTGGAATGCCAGCTTTCCCACTGCTGCGCCTTTCTCTCACTTTTGACCTTTGACCACAACCCAGAACGAAGCTTATGTTTAGCCCTGCCAAAGTGCAGTGAGAGAGGACACCCTTGCCGGGAAGGAGAACGTTAAGGTGGAATGCACCTCTTCGTACCGTGGGAGGGTGGTCATGCCTCTACCCCACTCCCATCATCCAGAAAAAGAATGCCAGAAGACAAGAATTAACAACAGTGAATTGGGAGGCAAATTTTCCTTCTGTAATTCATAATTTGCTTTGGTTGATTTGGTTTGGTTTTATGACAGGGTCTCATATAGCTTAGGTTGGCCTCAACATTGGAAAGCTGAGGATGGTTTGAACCTCTTGTCTTTCTTCATTCGCCCTTAAGTTCTGGGAGTATAGTCTGCCACTATACCAGTTTTTGTAACATGCATTATCCAAGTTCTTACTGTCTTGAGGCAGGCATCCCAAAAGCTCAAAAACCTGAGGCTCCCTAGGGATCCTGGAGGCAAGCGCTGATTTAAGGCTGACACGCCATTTACTTGCTTCATGCATCTCACTTAGGGTCAGTATGTTGGCATTTCTCTGCAAGTGGTTATGGGATATGATGTATTCCAGACCCAGCTGGAAGTATGATACAATCCTGTGTCATGTATATCACATTGCATGGTATAATTTGAGGTCTAATTCCCTCAAAATCTAACTCCATAGTAAGAGTTGTAAGGCTTCCACAGTAAGGGTTCCAGAATTGAAAAATTATTTATACTTTTTTAGATGTATATATATTTGAATATTTACACTTTTAAATGGTATATGAGGAATAGCAGGTAGTTCCTAAGTAGTAAAAAAAAAAAAAAAATCTCCCTCATATTTAAAGGTGTTTGTTTGTCTGTTTTGTTTTGTTTTTTTTGAGACAGGATTTCTCTATAGTCCTGGCTGTTCTGGAACTCACTCTGTAGAACTCAGAGATTCACCTCCCTCTACCTCCTGAGTGCTGGGATTAAAGGCATGTGCCACTACCACTCAGCTTTAAAGATTTTTTTTCTTACTACATATAGTTTATTTATTTATATCTGTGTGTATATGAGTGGGTGTGGGTACAGCCACAGCACATGTGTGAAGGTCAGAGGACAACTGAAAGAGTTATTTCTCTCCTTCTACCATGTGGCTCTGTGGGACAGGAGCTCAGGTTGTCAGGCTTGGCAGAAAGTCCCTTTATCTACCTGGCCATCTAAAGTTTGTTTTTTGTTTTCGTTTTACAGTATTTTCATGGGCTCTGTTTTATCTATGATTTAACAGTTTCCTATTTCTGTTTGTTAGATACAGGCTGTCATGTAGCTGAGCTCAAGCTTATTAGGTAGCCAAAGATGGCCTTGAACTTTCTTTACAGTCTTGTTATTATGTATGGGCACATACAGTAATGTATATGGGGGTGAAGCTGGGCAAGAGCAGGGATATAGAGGTCACAGTATAACTTTTTGCAGTTCCAACTTTACATGTGTTCTGTGGCTCAAACTTGGGTCACCTGGCTTGTGAAGCAAATGAAACCCTGGGTATGACCCCTTGTACCACTCTACTGGCTTCTAGCTAAGAATAACTTCTTCTGGTCCTCCTACCTCTATCTCCTGGGTGCCACCATTAGAGCACATGCCACCATGCCCATATTTATGATGCTTGGGATAAGACCTGTGGCTTTGCTTATGCTAGTCAGACACCTTGCCAACTCAGTGACACCTCTAGACTGTTTCTCTGTCTCTATTCCTGTCTTTACTTCCCTTCTTTCCCTCCTTCCTCCCTTCCTCCCCTTTTTTTCTTTCTTGTCCTCTCACCCCTTTTCAGTTCTTTTTCTTGGTCTTACTCTGTAATTCGAGTTCACTCTCCTTCTGTCTCAGTCTTGAGTTTCCCATTATAGAGGACCTAATTTTTTTTTATGCTTTCCTCTATGCTCATTTAGCAGACATTAAATGAACACCTATTGTGCTGTGCTCTAAGTGGGAAAAATGATTTTTAAAGACCAAGGGTGATGACTCACACTGGTATCGAGAACACTGAGTATTGTGAATTCAAGGGCAGCCTGAGCTACAGAGTAAGACACTGTCTCAAAGAAGAAAAAGAAAGAAATTGAAGCTTGGTATACAGCAATTGCATTTTTATGTGACATGCTATGAAGGAAGCTATGAAGGTTGAAATGGAATGGTAGGGTGTTCATTTAGATACAATGGTTGGGAAGGGCTCGTGGGCAGGAGGATTTCAGCTGAGATCTAGATAGAAGAAAGCTTTAGAGGAGAGCAGAGAGGATCACAAGGTAAAAGCCTGAGGCAAGAGAGTTGTAGGCTCAAAAGGAACGAAGCAAGAGGGCTGCCTTAGCACAGACCCCTCTGTTCCTAGCCTCCTGCGGAGGGCAGCCATGAGATTAAGACTCAGTGAATATTGGCTCTCCTTGCGGCTTTAAACTAATCATATGGTGCTGTCTACAGCAAAATTCAAAATTGTGGGCAGTACAGGAATTGCATACTGTAGTCCTGTCTCCTGCCATGAACAGAACTTGCTTATTGGGTGGCAGTACAAGTGTGCTGGAGACGTGTGAGTGCCAAGGAGAGTGCTTGGAACAGCCTTCTTGTTTCTGGTGGATTGAAGACTAACAGTTTCTCTCCTTCCTGCAGGCTGTGAAGCTTACCAGCTCTCGAACCCAGCTTCCTTACGAGTACTACTCATTGCCCTTCTGCCAACCCAGCAAGATAACCTACAAGGCAGAGAATCTGGGTAAGCCTCCTGTACTGCTTCAGCCTGTCTCACAAGGGAACCTGGCATGGTTTTCATACTAGTGGTGGCAGCTGCCCTTACCTAGTGCTTGGTGTGTGCTAGACACTTTTGTACAGTGTTTATGTGCATGTTAGCTCATTGACTCATAATGGCCCTGAAAGGGTAGTGATTTTGAGTATATGCCTTTGTGTTTTGTAGATTGACTTGCCTTTGGTTATATTGTTAGGTAATAGCTAACCTGAGTTTTAGCAGTTTCCAGAGCTAGAACACTCAGCTTCTAACCATAGTGCCTCTCCCTTGATTTCCTGATATCCCTTTTTTTTTTCTAGTGTCTTCTGTTACTTGCTCAGCCCCCACCCTGCTTTTGGTATAGGCCAGAGGTTGACATCAGGTGTCTTCCTGGGTTGTTCTCCACAATATTTGTTGAGACATGGTCTCTTGCTTGAGCCTAAAGCTTACTGATTTGGCTAGTCTAGCTGTCCAGGTTGCCCTGTCTCTATGTCCACAGTGGTGGGATCATTGGCAGGCTGCCACCTCCACTCAGTATTTACATGGATGCTGAGAAATGGAACTCATGCTTATGTGGCAGGCACTTTACCCATTGAGCCATCTCCTTAGATCATTGCTCTGCCTGTAATAAAGATTGTTATATAATACTTGTCTATGAAATTCTCAAAAAAGAAATGTCAAAAAGAAAAGATAAGCCCCGACAGTGGTGACACACCTCTAATCCCACCATGAGGCAGAGGCAGGCGAATCTCTGAGTTCAAGGCTAGACTGGTCTACTGAGCAAGTTCCAGGACAGCCAGGGCTACACAGAGAAACCCTGTCTCAAAAAAACAAAGAAGAATAATTATCTCTGCCTTAAAGCAAGCAAAGACATTGACTTTTTTGTTTGTTTGTTTGTTTTTGTTTTTCGAGACAGGGTTTCTCTGTGTAGCCCTGGCTGTCCTGGAACTCACTCTGTAGACCAGGCTGGCCTCTAACTCAGAAATCCTCCTGCCTCTGCCTCCCAGGTGCTGGGATTAAAGGCATTCGCCAACACTGTCTGGCAACATTTTTGAAAAGCTGAGCAGGACTTATTCAGAAAGAGTGTTAAACACCCTGCACGATCTCTATCACAAGTTGTCTGTAAGTAGTAGTTATGATTCTAGCCTAAATAGTCTTCAGTTGGAAGTATCTCTTCAGGGCAGTTAGTTATTCATGCTTCCTCTCTGCCTGTCTCTGCACTGTGTCCTGGAGAAGCAAGCATACAGATGCTCCTGGGGCCTTAAGGACTTCAGCCTATTTTCCTCATATGTCTTAGGAAAGAAGACACTGGTTCTTTCTTGGTTTTGGTGGCTGAACTTATCATTGTTTAAAAGTCTGTTTTATTTGTGTGTGCATGTTTATGTGTCTGTATGTGTGCACGCTCGAGAATCAGTACACTTGGAGGCCTGACGAGATCCCTCAGAGCTGGCATTATAGGCACACCTGGCTTGTTAGGAGGGTACTGAGATTCGAAGTCCAAGTCTCATGATTGTGCAGAAAGCAGCAAGTGTTCTTTTCTGCAGAGCCATCTCTTCAGTCCCTCTTTATGGTTTTTTGAGACAAGATCTCCCTCTTCCAAGCTGACCTAAAATCCGCTGTGTTGTTCATTGGCCAGACCGCCCTTGAACCTGTGAACCTCCTGCTTCAGCCTTCTGAATACTGGGGTATGAATTCCATTCCTCATGATTGTGCTACAGTTGTTAACTGCTGAGATGTAGGGTGCCACCAGGAAGGTGCTGAGGATCAAACCTGGGATCTTGGGTTGCTGGGCAAGTGTTCTACACTGGGCTACATCCTAGTCTTGGGAAACTGGTTCTCTTTAAAAGTGGTTTTATTAGCATATATTAGTTAGTCACATCATGACTTCTGGCTCATCCTTTAGAGGAGGTGACACAGGCCCACTACTTGAGAGCTCTGCAGATACAGCTTGAGCTTGGGAGTCTGAAACCAACCTGGGTACATAGTATCTGGAAAAAAAAAAAGGAGACTTAGCCAGGCATGATGGCCCATGTCTTTAGCAGCAGCACTCCAAAGGCAGAGACAAGTGGATCTCTAGGAGTTCAAGGCCAGCCTAATCTACATAGTAAGTTCCAGGTCAGCCTAGGAGGTATAGTGAAACCCTTTCTGAAAATCTCAATGAGAGAAAGAGGGAGGGAGGAAGGGAAGGAGAAGAGGAGGAAGGGAGGAAGGGAGGAGGAAGAGAAAGAGAGATGAGCCATGCTGGACCAGGGTATCTTATTTCCTTTCTATTTTTGGTGGTTTTTCTCAAGACAGGGTTTCTCTGTATAGCCCTGGCTGCAGGAACTCACTGTAGACCAGGCTGACCTTAAATTCAGAAATTGGACTGTCTCTGCTTCCCCAGTGTTGGGGTTAAAGGTGTGTGCTAGTACCATCGGCTGGCACCTTACTTAACTCAATTTAACATCCAGATTTTAGGAGTCACATCCTTACCTGCAGTTTCTCCTCTCTTGGAATCAGCTCTTTATTGACCTGCAAAGAAATGGACAGCAGGACGTGGTGTAAGGAAGAGCTTACCCAGGGGATCGTGACAAGCTCCTTTCTCTTTAGTTGTGGTTGTCTATAAAATGCTGTGCAGATGTCTTGTTGATGTCCTCGCTCTCCACTTACAATTGATCCTGGACTTTCAGGCTCACGTGCACTGTCAGGCATCTGATATCAGCTGAGGGGTAGAGGCCTTCACCCTCCTCACTCTCTTCCTCTTCCTCTCCTGGATGGCCTATTCTAGACTCAAGACATAACTCACTAGAGCTACTACCTTGCATGGCTACATGCTGCCTCTAATGTGGTAGTTTGAGGCTCTGCCACTTTGCACTTAACCTACCAACAAATCATAGCTTTCAACTGCCTGACCTATTCTTTCGACAACTCACAGAACTTGGTCATGAAAACCTAAGCATCTTCCCAGCATGCACCACTCCTTCCTCATGCTCTTGAATCTGTGCTGTGATGGCAGCTTCCTCACAGACTCTCTGTGTTTGTTCTCACTTACTTCAGGACTGGTGCCATCACTCCAGCCAGCTTCTTACATCCTTCGCAGAAGAGCAGCCAGAGTGATCTTTCCATAACTGCAGATGGGTAATGTCTTCTCTATCCTTGTTGGAACTCCTCATGAATTTCTTCACTTTCTGGACAAAGATCATGTGTGTGGTCCACCCTAAGGCCAGTTCCAACCCATCTTCCCAGTTTACCCAGGTCACTCCCAAGCACTCTGCTTTGCCACCCCACCATACAGGTAATCTCAAAGTTGCTACCCAGGTAGCCTTTGTTGACCTGTCACCCTAGAGCTTGCCCACTCCTCTGTACAGACATAGCACGGTATAGTGAACAGAATATTCTGACTTCTGGAAGCCTGCTACTGCACCCTGCCTGACATTTATAAGCTTAGTCCTGGGACATTACTTCACTGACCCTCAGTTTCCTCCTCCAGAAAATGAGATGGCAGTTGTATTGTCCTTATAGGTAGACCAAGAACTGAGGGGTTAATCCACTCACAGGCACTGACTGAGTAGGCAGGGAACACAGAACAAACACCATTTGCATTACAGGTTTCACCTCTGCAGCCAGGCTGGCCTCCTACCGAGACCTTCCTATCTCTGTGCAGCTCTTCTTTGTCAATGGGGTTACTTTGCAGTGTGTTAATAGTGTAGCTCTTACTCCCCTACCGTCAGGGAGCTCTCTGAGCCAAAACTTACTGTTTAATGTGCTGGCACCCCATGCCAATTTCCCCCGAGTAACCCGATGCCAAATGTTAGACTCATAGGCAGTGAGCAGCTGGGAAGCATCAACTAACCCAACTGTGTTTTCACTCTGAGCTACTCATTAGTTCAACAGCAATGATAGGAAACTGGGGCAGGCTGAAGGAGACACACCAGGACAGCAGAACAGGCAGGACTACCACCTCCACATGTACTTGGCCCAACATATGCCAGTGGATCTACTTGATATGCGCCAACTGCCTTATCTACTCACTCACTCATGTACTCACCAGTACAAACTGGGAACTGGCTAGGTGCCAGGCCTGAAGATACAATGTTGAATAGACATCTTTGTGGAACTTATGACTTGAAGTTCTAGTGTGAAAACAGACTGATTAAATGGCCAACAAAGTGAAAACGTACTGTAAAAGTGTTGTGATGGGAAGTAGATTTAGAGAATTCCAAGCTAGTAGTACTTGAAGTGACAACAAAATGAGGGGCAGTATTAACCAGGCAGAGAGATATGGAGGTCAGTTTAGACACAGACAAAAAAGCTGCTTGGGGGTGGCGACTATGAGATGACCAGAGTAGTGGCCAGAGTGCTTGGGAGTGACCTGGGTGACCTGCAGAGATGGGTAAGAGATGGGTTGGGTCTGGCCTTAGGGTAAACCACATACAACTTGATCTTGGTCCAGAGAGCAAAGAAGATCATGAGGGTTTCCAACGGGGATGGGGAAGACTTTAGCTGTCTGCAGCTACAGGATCAGGAGGAGTTATCCAAAGAAAAGGAGAAGGCAGCCAGGCTTGAAGCCAGGAGCATAGGGCCAGGATGACATGTCAGGCATGGGAAGATGTGAGGTATCTACCAGTAACAGAACCCAGAACAGGAAGGGTGGTGGGACAGTTAGAGCAGGTAGGGCAGAACCTGACTGCTTGATTGTGGCACTGCTGACATCCTTGGAGCTCCATTTTGTGCTGCTGTCTGCGGCCCCATGACTGCTGACCTCAGCCACCACAGGGCTGAAGCTCTGAGCTCCATCTGTCTCTCTTACGGCAGGAGAGGTGCTGAGAGGGGACCGGATTGTCAACACCCCTTTCCAGGTTCTCATGAACAGTGAGAAGAAGTGTGAAGTTCTATGCAGCCAATCCAACAAGCCAGTAACCTTGACAGTGGAACAGAGCCGGCTGGTAGCAGAGCGAATCACAGAAGAGTACTACGTTCACCTGTAAGTTACTGCTGCTCCCTGCTGGCCTCCAGCTCAGCTCAAGGAGGGCCTGGTGGGAGTGTGGTTCTGAGTCTGAGCCTTGGGTTTCTAGCATTGCTGACAACCTGCCTGTGGCCACCCGGCTGGAGCTCTACTCCAGCAACCGTGACAATGATGACAAGAAGAAAGAAAAAGATGTGCAGTTTGAACATGGCTACCGACTTGGCTTCACGGATGTCAACAAGGTAGAGTATCTGGCGTTCATGGAGGTCTGGGTAGGCGTACTTCTTAAACTACAAATACTTGGGGTCACAGAGAATGGGAAAACATTCAGCTCTTGGCTAGCAACACAGGAAAAAAAAATGGGGTCAGCAGGCTGGTGAGATAGCACAGACAGCAAGTCCAGTGCTTACTCCCCAGCCTCATGACTTGAGTTGAATCCCCAAGTACCTAGGAGGCAGAAAGAGAGAGCTGACTCCACATGTGCTGTGACATGTGGACCCACACACATAAATAACTTTTTAAAAAATGGGGGTCAGCCACAGCACATTTCTATCAGAGTCTCATGGTCAATGGCCTGTGAAAGTTCTGTGGTTTTGGACTGGCTCCAAGATGAACTACAAGGAGATGTAGACACTAGAGTGTTAGATTCTGTTTCTGTAAGATTAAAACTAGCAAAGGAACCAGAACTTAAAGTGTGTGGGAGAGAAGACCACACGATGATCGAGAATGTGTTGTAGGCTTCCTGAGCTGAATCCTGCTTCCACCATTTGCTGGTGGTCTGAGTGTGCTTGGTCCCGTGTTTTAGTATCTGTAAACAAGTAATGATACTCACCTGTGTGGTTTTGAAAATCAGTCTGTGCATACACTTCATGACACAACTCCTGGAAGTAAGCTAGTAATGACATAGGCTGTAACTGTGTCCTCATTATCTGATTGTTCCCAGGGAATAAAAGGCTGACATGCCTTTGTGGTGGAGTCCCTGTCCTCAGAGGCCTTGTCCTAATTTGGAGAGAATTGGCAGTTGCCGTCCCCTAGCCAGGGAGCTGTTGTGCATATGGGATCCATGGAAGGAGGAGGGCACTTAGAGAAAGAGCTGGGCTGAGAGAATCAGAGCAAGGATAGCATCCCAGATGCCATCATGCTATGACAGAGATGCAGGGTAAAGACTGGTTGTGAAATGGGGGGTGGGGGGGGCGGAGAACCCAGGTAAGCAAGACAAGAACAGATTATGAATGAAATTGCCATAATGAAACCATTATTTGTATGCTGTCTTTAAAAAAAAAAGACATTGGCAGCCAGCCCAAGGAAACTTGGGTTCTGTCTGATAACTCACCCACCCACCCCTAGTAAGCCATAGGGACTATCTGAGCAAGAGAGAGTAATATGACCATGTTTTCAGAAGGCTGATAGAGCCAGGCAATACTGGACAGAGAAAGGATCTAGTGCTTGGAGTGGGCTCCCAGCTCTCTGGTTTGAGGCTGCTATCTATTTCTGACTCTCAGTTGCTCTGTTTTAGATCTACCTGCACAATCACCTCTCATTCATCCTTTATTACCACCGGGAGGACATGGAAGAGGATCAGGAGCACACATACCGTGTCGTCCGCTTCGAGGTGATTCCCCAGAGCATCAGGCTGGAGGGTGAGTGGGGCGGTATCAGCAGAGGGTCAGGGCTGGATGGGCCTGGGCTTCCACACACAGGATCTTCTCACATTCTTACCTCTTTACTAGCCGACAGGCCCAAGTAGTTTCATCCCAAGAAGGCCCCTGTACCCTAGCAGAGCAAGTAGGGAATGAGGGAGAGTTGCGCCTTCTGTCTTGTGGACTGGGTTCCGTGTGAACCCACCACCTCCCAGCATCTTTAGGAAATTAGAGGTGATACAGATGAGAAGTCAGGCTCAAGAGGCTAGTGACTTGGCTAAGACCAAATAGTAAGTTGAGGCTTTGTTGAGCCTCTTCCCAAGAGCCAGCCAGTCTGGTAAAGAACAAGGGATGAAAATACAGGCAAAGCCATTGAGAAGCAGATTATGAGTTACTGTGTCTCCCTCTGTGTGGATGATTGGCCAGACTATAATTGCCTGGAGTCAACAATAGGTCAGGAATATAAGGACCCAGCCCAGTCTTGATAGGTGGGCCACATAGGACTTGGTGAAACTTTATTTTCTCTTCCTCTTTCTCCTCTTCTTCTTCTTCCTCCTCCTCTTCCTCTTCCTTCTCCTCCTTTCTCTTTTCTTTTCCTTCCTTTCTGTTTGTTTTTGAGACATCGGCTCTGTAAATAGGCTTGGATGTCCTGGAACTCACTATGTAGATCAAGCCAGCCTTGAACTCAAAAAGGTCTGTCTCCCTGTACCTCTAGAGTTCTGGGGTTAAAGGCATGCTCAACCACACCCTGTCTTTGTTTTCTTCTTAAGACAGGGTCTCAGCATGTGGCCCAAACTGCCTTTTCCTAAGCTAGGAGTTAATTCTCAGCCCGACAACACTAGGCAAGTGCTCTACACTGGGCTCCATCTCCAGCCGGCCTGTAGGATCACAGATATGAATCACCACTCTTTTGTCCACACTGGTGATTTTTTTGGATTATTGAAGAAAGTGTGGCCCATGACTTTGCACATGCAGCAGTCCTAAAGCATAAAAACTGAGTGTAGGCACCATCCTGCCTCTCCAGTGTATGTCACAACAGCTCAGCATTTACAGATGATTTTTAGAGGTTCTTGCACTTGCTGTGGCTCTTCAAGATTACACTCTGTTCTTCTCTTGCCAGTGTGGTGCCTGGCCCACACTGTGTGCTGGTTTCTCTAGCACATGTTTATCATATGGTAGATGAAGTGATGAGTGACTGACGAGGAAGGCATCGAATGCTTGGGTTACTGAAGTAATAGATGCCTGACTGATGAGCAGGTGGGAGGAGCCGCTGTGGAGCATGCTGCCTGACTGACTGGAGAGGAGTCCATGCCTGTGTGGGTTGAATGTAGGGAGCCAGCTGCTTTTTGGATGGAGGGAGTTAGATTCAGATCCTTCTCTCTCTCCCTCCCCCATGTACATAACTTTTTATTCCTGAAGGCCCTTGGGAAAGCCAGGGTCCCGGATGAATCTTGATATAGCTATAAAAGCCACAGTCACCTTCTGTGCTCCCAGCTTCCACTCAACCCTGGTGGCAGGTCTGGTGGCCTTGAGACCTTGCAGAGTAGCCCTGCCTGGGGGAGTCGCACTGGTCACTGTGAGAGCAGACTGGGTCTCTGTCTCTCACAGACCTCAAAACAGACGAGAAGAGTTCATGTACCCTACCTGAGGGTGCCAACTCCTTACCCCAAGAAATTGATCCCACTAAGGAGAATCAGCTGTACTTCACCTACTCTGTGCACTGGGAGGTGAGACAGAATGCCTGCTCTGGCCAGGGGAGGAGGGCTTGCTCTGGGCTGGGATCCTCTGTCCAACAGGAGACCTGACTCTGCTTCCTCATACCTGCCAGGAAAGTGACATCAAATGGGCCTCTCGATGGGACACTTACCTAACCATGAGTGATGTGCAGATCCACTGGTTTTCCATCATTAACTCTGTCGTGGTGGTCTTCTTCCTGTCAGGTAAGACCTCTGAGAATTGAAGGTGGAGTTGGGAACCTGAGGCATCACCTTACTTATGGGATATTTCTAGGGTGTTGTCAGGGCTGTGTGTGGTCAGAAGCGGTCCCCATGGTCCTGCGCCAGTCCCCCTGTGTACAGAAATGAACAAGAATTGGTCTCTACTCTAGTGAGTTTTCTAAAGAACAGAGAGGTTTGTCTGTGTACAGTCACTGATTCATTCAACAGCCTCCAGAAGCATGGTCCTGCTGTGAGACAAGCGCAGCAGGAAGCTGGCTAGAGACTCTAGACAAGTAGAATGAGGGCGATTGCTTCCATGGTGTGAGAGGCAGAGAGACCAGTAGCCCTGCTTAGTCACTGCTGTGAAGAGGCTGGCCGCCACCCAGACTTCACTAAGGCCAGTCCTTAGCTCAGGAAGTCAGTCTAAAAGTCCAGACTGAGCTCTCACGGTCATGGGCCCGTTTTCTGAGCACTATGCTGCTACCTAGAGAGGGAGACAGGACAAGTGAGGCAGAGTGACGGTGATGTTCCTGAACTGCTGAGGGACAGTGAGAGGTGAAGGTGTCCCCTATGAGTCTTGATGCATGGGTGGAAGGCAGTTATTCAGGCATTGCCAGTAACAGGAATGTCATGGAACTCTCCTCCCAGACACAAAAAGCAACAGGCTGTGGCTATCGCTCCCATCCCAGCAGTTTCCTTCTCTGCACAACCCCTGCTCAGCTGGAGTAGAGCTCTGCTTATGTGGGAGGGGTTTGGGTGGCCTCATGCCCAGGCCCTGTTGAAAAGGGCGTGGAGCTGGACCACTGTTAGCACTGCTTACCCCGCCCTGTCCCTCGCAGGCATCCTCAGCATGATTATCATCCGGACCCTGAGGAAGGACATCGCCAACTACAACAAGGAGGATGACATTGTACGAGGTCTTGGCTGGGGTGGACAGACTAGAAGAGGGAAGACGAGCTAACAGTGGGGCTCTGCCCTTGCCAGGCCTGTGTGCATGCATGCACATGTGCGTGTGTATGAGAGAGGTCACAGTAAATCTCAAAGGCATTGAAAAGAAAAAGACTTTTTATTCCTCAAAGTGGTGGGTGTTTGAGAGAAGTCACAGAAAAAAAGAGAAAAAAAAAAGTTGGTTAATTTATCACTTAAAATTTTTAAAGTAGACTTTTTGAAATAGTGCATCAGGGTAAGGGTGCTAGCCACCAAGCGTTACAACCTGCATTTGATCCCTGAGAGCCACATGGTGCGAGTAGAGAGGTGACTCCCACAGATTGTCCTCTGACCTCCATGTATATATTGTTGTGTATGCACACCCACACACACAGACTTAAGTAAATAACTAAATAAATGTAATCTTTAAAAAATTAATTTAAGGGGTTGGGGATTTAGCTCAGTGGTAGAGCGCTTGCCTAGCAAGCGCAAGGCCCTGGGTTCGGTCCTCAGCTCTGAAAAAAAAAAAAAAAAAAAAAATTAATTTAAAACTAGAGCTAGGCATAATATTATACACCTGTGATCTTCGCGCTCAGTAGGGTGAGGCAGGAGAGGTTTGTGATAACTTGCCTCCATAGCAAAACCCTGTATCAAAACCAGCAAGGCCCAGCATGGTTATTTGTCCCTATTATTTCCTGGGAGACAGAGCCAGGGAGAGCTGTATGAGTTCAAAGTCAGCTTGATATACATAGTGAACTGTAGGCCTACCAGGATCCAGAAAACAAAAATTACCATCACAACCACCACCAAAACCAAAAAAGAACTTTAAAAAAAAAAAATCCTAATTTCTTTTTTTGTTTTACAAGACAGGGTTTCTCTGTGTAGCCCTGGCTGTCCTGGAACTTACTTTGTAGACCAGGCTGGCCTCGAACTCAGAAATCCACCTGCCTCTGCCTCCCAAGTGCTGGGATTAAAGGCGTGTGCCACCACCGCCTGGCCCTAATTTCTTATGTATTGAACATTTCTTATATATTTACGAACAAGAAACTAACCTCAGGAAACACCCCTGCCCCCTGCCCAAATTCAGATTCAAACTGTCATAAGAAAGTGATGTTGGGACAGGTAAGTAGTAGAGATTTTTTTTTTTTTCTTTTTTGAGACTGGGTCTCACTATGTTGCCTGGGCCCTTTGAAACTGGAGATCCTTCTGCCTCAGCCTCTGAATGCTAGACCACAGGCCACACACCACTTCTTTCCTTCGTACCTTTTTTTTTTTTTTTTTTTTTTACTAATTGTTGTCTGAGGAGATGGCTTAGTTGGTAAAGTACTTGCCTTGCCACACAAACATGAGGCCCTGAGTGTGGATCCCTTGTGCCCATGTAAAGCTAGTGGTGGCTGCAAGCATCTTTTACCCCAGTGCTGAAGGAGCAGGTGTGAAGGAGACTCTGGGGTTCAGAGAGGGGCCTTGTGTCAAAAAGATAAGGTGTAAAGTAATTGAGGAAGACACCCAGTGTTGACCTCTGACCTTCACATACACATACATAGAAGCATACAGTACTGAGTGTTAGCAGAATTAATATGAGGGCCTGTCATGGTGGCACTCGGGAGGCACAGGCAGAGGCTGACAAATCTCTATGAGTTCCAGGCCAGCCTGATCTCCATAGTGAGTTTTATATAAAGTAAGGCCCTGTTTCAAAAAAGCAAAAAGAAAAAAGATTAACATGGGGAAATGTTCAAAAATCGTACATCACTTGAAAATAACAAGTTACTCAGTATAACACTCAGTATTTTTTAAAACATTATTCATGTGTATACATGAATAAATATAGGTAAAAGACTAAAGAAAACAGTGGTATCTTTTTATTTCAATGTTGAAAATTTTAAGTTTACAGGTCATTTTGTTTTTTAGAATTTTCTGTCATAAAGAAAAGTCTCTTTTCATGGTGCCCAGGCTACCTTGAGCCCTCGGTTCTTCTGCCTTACCCTCTTGAGTGTTAGACTGAAGGGATATACCACCACACGTGGCCTTTTCTCTGCTCTTAAATTTTTTTTTATATACTAAACGTTTTCTGTTTCTTTAAATTCTTTTGAATTGTATAACATACCTTTTTTTAATACAAGTAAATGCATAGTTATAATCAGGAAAAAATAAATTGCTTCAGAAGCAATGTTTGGATGGTGACCCAAGGACTAGTAAGTTAACCTTTAGTGTGCTAGTGTTTACATTGTTTCCCATTCTCTAGTTTTGTGAAATTAGGGAGATTATTTTTCCTGCAGCTACAAGCATGCTGTGCTTGACCTCCCTTCTCCAGGTAGCATCCCTCTGAGAAGCTTATGGCAGGTGGTGCTGGTTTGATGGGGTAGCCTGGGTCTACAGGGCTATTTGCTGCAGGTGCCTCTCTATCCTCACAAACCTCCCTCTCTCTCTGTCTCTTCCTACAGGAAGACACTATGGAGGAGTCTGGGTGGAAGCTTGTGCATGGTGATGTCTTTAGGCCGCCCCAGTATCCCATGATCCTCAGCTCTCTGCTGGGCTCAGGCATTCAACTCTTCTGCATGATCCTGATTGTCATCTGTGAGTAGGCGTATGGGCTGGGTATGGTGGTCAAAGGAACATGGCCTGATCCCAAGGCATATCCACCTCTCTGTGACTTAAGCAAAAGGGTAGGCGTATCTCCCAGGAGCAGGCCAAGCATTCTGGGCAGCTGCTCCAAGCCCCGGCAGTAGTGATTCCCTCGGCTATTCTTCAGCTCTGTTCACATAAGAACTGTCATGAGTACGTACTTGGTCAGGGAAGCACACATCAGCACTATGAGGCTAACTCCTTTCTGCCCTCAGAGTAAGCAGCTAGTCCAGAATCACTGCCAGCATCAGGGCTGGCACAGAACTCTTCGCCTTCAAGGTTGGGTCTTATATGTAGCCCAGGCTAAGATGAACAATCACTTTGTCTGCCTGTGCCACCGCATACAGCAGGACTTTTTTCATTACTCTAGGGACAAAAGCTCACTGGTATATAGTAAGTACAGACAGGTCTGGAGTCAGTCTCCCTAAATTTATCTCTCACCCTCTACCTTTGAGCTTTGTGACTGGATAGCCACCTAGCTTTGTTGGGTTCAGTTTCCTTGTCTAAGAAATGGAGAGGCTAACTTCCATCTTACAGGGTCAAGTTAGATTCAGCTTGCAGGTGTTCAGAATGCTCTCAGCCTATTGTGTGATTCATTCCAAGGGCTCTGGGGACAAGAAAGTACAGTGAAGGTTCACACTGCCAAGACCCAGCAGCTGCTCCAACCCCTGGACCCCAGCTACAACCCAGTCTTTTCTTGGAGAGAGCTGTGCTGTTACAAAGGCCAAAAAAGAAGGGAATCTCTTCTAGCCCCATTTGTCTAGCAGCCTGTATGTCTTCCCTTCAGTAGCTTCAGGCCTGACTAACACCCTGCTCCTGACCCTGCCCTCTGTCCCCTCTGTAGTTGTGGCCATGCTTGGGATGCTGTCGCCCTCCAGCCGGGGAGCTCTCATGACCACTGCCTGCTTCCTCTTCATGTTCATGGGGTAGGTTTATGTGAGAATGTTCCCAGGGGATGGCACAAGCCTGCTTCACACCACTTATAGGACTCCTTCTTGTGGATTCTGCTTTTTCCTACAACAGGGTATTTGGTGGATTTTCTGCTGGCCGTCTCTACCGAACTCTAAAAGGCCATCGGTGGAAGAAAGGAGCCTTCTGTGTAAGTCTCCTTCTTCTCTTCCTCCTCCTCCTCCTCCCCCCTTCTCCTCCTCCCCCCCCTCCTCCTCCTCCTAGCATTTGTTGGGGCCTGAGACACCCTTCCTGCACCACTCAGGAGCATAGACAGACCCCAATGTGGATTTAAGCTAGTAGTAAACAGCGTGATGATGGAGCAGCGGGGGCTAGGCCCACAGTCTACAGTTCTAGGCTCTCTTAAGATCCAAAAGGATCTCAGCACTGAAGACGCCCCATCCACAGAGTGATACGGAGGTTGGACTTGAGCTTGCATTGTCTAGTGACTAAAGCAAGAGGACAGTGGATTCAGAGTGAAGAGCAGAGTCACAGGAGAACACCATACCCACAGACTAGAGAGAACGGCCTGCCAGGGATGGAGGCCAGGCTTGTGTAACAGCTAGCTGACATGCCGGTCACCAGAGTGAAAACACATTTTCGAGGTGGAAAAGGCCATAGTAATGGGGCAGTGCAGGGCTGGGGTTCTCCCAGGAACTTTTTTCTTCTTTCTGTTCCCAGTATTAGATGTGGTGCCCAGACTGAGATCCTAGGTTTTGGGGTTGTTTGGTTGTTTGATTTGGGTGTGTGTGTGTGTGTGTGTGTTTTACTTTTTTAAGATTTATTTATTTTATGTATGAGTACACTGTTGCTGTCTTCAGACACACCAGAAGAGGGCACTAGATCCCATTACAAATGGTTGTGAGCCACCATGTGGTTGCTGGGAATTGAACTTAGGACCTCTGAAAGAGCAATCAGTGCTCTTAACCGCTGAGCCATCTCTCCAGCCCTTGGTTTGGTTTTTGAGACAGGGTTTCTCTGTATAGCCCTGGCTGTTCTGGAACTCACTCTGTAGACCAAGCTGTCTTGAACTCAGATGTCCCCTTGCCTCTGCCTCCTGAGTGCTGGGACTAAAATCGTGTGACACCACACCCAGCTGGGACCCTAGTATTTATTTTATTTTATTTTATTTTATTTTATTTTATTTTATTTTATTTTATTTTAATTAAGTGTTTATGTCATTTTTTTGAGACAGGGTTTCTCTGTATAACAGAGCCATGGCTGTCCTGGAACTCACTTTGTAGACCAATCTGGCCTGGAACTCACATTGATTTGCCTGCCTCTGCCTCTTGAGTGCTGGGAGGTGTGCACCACCATGCCTGGCTAGATCCTAGTCTTCTTTTTGTGGGGGGGAGGGGATTAACATTCACTTTAATGAGAACGGTCTCCTCAGTGAGTACAGCTGTAAGCTGAAGCTGTGTGACATCAGGACTTTGCTTCCTGCTCCACAGGCTTTAGATGCCACTGCAAGACCACCTCTCCAGTGCTTGAGGCATGTGCTGGAAATGGTCTCTTTTGTGGGAAGTCCCTGGGGCAGCTGTAGGGGCTGGATGCGTATCAAGTGTTTAAACACTTTCAGCTTTGCATTCAAGGGATGTTCTTGTGAATTTGAGTGCTGTGTGCCTTCTGTAGTCCAAGCATCTTCATTGTATCTTTTTCGTAGTATGGATGCCTCTTTGTACTTATTCCTGTAACAATGTGTAGCTTATGAAGGTTCTGGGGCTCCCCACTGTATTTTTCATGATCTTCAGGTCTAGGCTGAAACACTTATCTGGAATTCTTATCTGGTAAATTTGTGACAAATCCATTCTGTACCAGTGAGAGATTCTGTGCCTTTCTTCCCAGTCTGTAGTCTGCCTGGAAGCCTCTGAAATACTGAGCATAGAACCTCAGCCATATATGTGGTAATTCTTCTCTTTAGAGGCAGTGACCGCTGTGTCCACTTGGAATGTCCCTGCAGCTGGAAGGACTAGATCCTAGTCCTCACTTGGCTTTTCTTGATGGATAATCATAAACAGCCCTCTGAACTTCTGGTTTCCATCTCTCCAGTGGGGATAGGGGAATCTACTTTGCAGCATATAGACTCTGGGACACTCATACCACAAGATGTGGGTGACCCACATGAAGGCCCATGGACAGGAATGTGTAGGAGCACTGACTGACTAGCTATTGGATGGGAGCAACAGTGAACCAAAGAAGAAATGAATACAGAGTTCAAGGGTTAGGTTGGACCTTGGCCTTTGTGCTTAGTGACCTACCTGGATGCCTAGATCCCCAGTATGGAAGAATGAGACTCAAGTGTAAGCCTGGGGCCTTGGTTTTCTGTGCCTGGCCTCTAACCCAGGAGACTGACTAGATTACATTGCATGAGATCAAGAGTGGGCTTTGGAAGCAGTCTGTCTAGATTCTAAACTCTGCTCTACCCTTGATTAAACTCTAGAGTGGAGAGATGCCCTCATCTTTTAGTAGGGTCTCTTCTAAACCTATGTCGTGAGGGTGAGGTGAGATGATACAGGTAGAGCCCACAGTTGGCATCCTTAAGATGCTACTAAAACTGAACCATTGTTTTAAGCAGTTTGGAGTTGGAGCCTAGATATACATTATTTCTAATAGTTTTATTTATTTATGAAGCAAATACTTAGTAGCTACTGTGTTTCGTGATGAGAATACAACAGAGTACAGGATTTAGAGTGTACTGGGGAGACAGACATTGATCAGGCAGCAAAGCTGTATGCTGGTGCTTGTTGTCTCAGTGAGATTACATCTGTTGATAGGGTCTGAGATGAATGTGCATCAACATACCAAATTTAGTATGGTTGCTAAGAATGCCTCTAACTGTCAGTACATTGCCAGTTCAAAAGATTCTAAGTAGATCCTTTCTAAGCTGAGCACCATCTGTAATCAGGAAATGGAATGAAGGCAAGGGAAAGCAGTTTCAGGGCTCTACAGTCTCAGAACAGGAGGCCTGTCTAATGTGGGGTCAGAAGAGAAACTGTGCTGAAGCTGAAGCCCAAAGGAAGCCTTTTGTCCGTGAACTCCCCAAGGACCATGTAGGACCCTAGATGCAGCTCCCCAACCTGGTCCTCTTGCTCCCAGACAGCGACACTGTATCCTGGCGTGGTTTTCGGCATCTGCTTTGTATTGAATTGCTTCATCTGGGGAAAGCACTCATCAGGAGCGGTAAGTGCCTTCCCCCACTGTCTAGCCCCTCTCCAGCAAGGAGAGCTGGTGATGGTCAGTCCTATTCCCTAAGGACACTTCCTGTTATTGTTCCCTTCCCTTTTCTGAGTCCCCAAAGTTCTGTTCCCAGCTATAGGGGTTGAAGGTTGGCTGGGGTTTCCCCAGCATTGCCTATCTATCATCTGCCTGTGCCCTGGCCTTGGCCCTTCTGCAGACTTGGAAACAGCTGGCCACAGATCACTTCTCTAAAGGGAGGTTTCCACACTCCAGGGGCCAGTTGGGGAATTCCCCATGTTTCAACCAAGTGAGAGCTGCCTGGTATCCGTGGATAAGGTCAGAGGGCTCACCTCAGCATCCTGTCAGCACCAGCCCAGAGTGGAGCTCCCATTAGCCCCACGCCTTGAGATTGCCAGCAGCTCCTCAGGACTCTGTGAGCAAGGGAGTGTGGGACTATGGGCCCTTGGGTCAGCTCTCAGGACTGCAGAAGTGGGGCAGGCTTGTTAGGTGTCTGTGAAGGACTCTGGATATGGTCTTCCCAGCAGTGTGGGAAGACTCCACCACCCCAGCCCACCCCGGTATCCAAGATGTGCTTTCTAAAAAGCACAGAGAAATGAAACAGTGGAGCCATCCAGGGCAAATACATGGAGGTTTCTAATGTGTACTCTTTCAGTCTTTCTCCTTCAACAGAAGTGTTAAAATGAGAGTATATGATTTAAAATTTACATTAGATTATGTTTATTGTAATGCTGTCCTAAACGTTTAACGTCCTCTCTGTCTTAACCGTTTTTAGGCTGGCATACATTGCATTACGGCATTTTACACTGCATCACTGTACTTTGTTCTCACTCGGTCCCCTTCCCACTGTCCTCTTCCCTGTCCCCTCCCCCCTCTAGCTGCTTCCCTTCTTTCCCCAGCTTAACTCCCAACTTCTGCTTTCTTATCACATGTATTTCATTACCCTTTCTCCCCTGCTTGAAGATCTCTTCCTTCCTTCTAATGATCCCCTTTTCAGTTTCATCAGTTACATGTACACATATATAAATATAGATACACACAAAAATGTTTAATGTGGGTTCTACGGATAAGAGAAAACATGCAGTATTTGTCTTTCAGAGTCTGGCTTATTTCACCATAATAGTTTCTAGTTCCATCCATTTCCTGCAGAGTGTTGGTATTTCATTTTCTTTATCTTCTGTACAGTCCATTCTCTGGCTTTTGTGACCAGTACAGCAATAAAGATGGATGTGCAAGTATCTTTGTAGTGTGCTGACTTAAAGGTCTTTGCATATATACCCAAGTAATATAGCTGGGCCATGTGGTACTTCTGTTTTAACTTTATACTGGTTTCTATAGTGACTGCACAGATTTACCCTACCACATTAATATGTTGTTAACATACTGATTTTTGCACAAGCCTTATAGAAAATGACTTACAGAAGATGATGAAGAAAATGAAAAATATCAGTTCTAACCCCCATTCCCTATCTAAGGAAGTACTGTTACCTTTCCAGACACGCACACATCCAAACACTGAATTTGGGAGCCTGGGGTGTGGCTCAGTTAGCACAGTGCTTGCCTAGCATGCTGGAAACTTGAGTTTCAGCTGTAGCACTTCTGAAATCACTGTGGTAGGACATGTCTTCTGATCCCAGGAGGTGGAGGCAAGAGGATCAGGAGTTCAAGGCCAACCACCTAGGATACATGAGGCCCTGTCTAAAAAATGAATTTTGTTAAAATGGAATTCTTTTATAATTCCAGACCCATGCCCTGCTTAAGAATGTTGTGATGTTTCATTTTAACCAAACTCTAGCAGTTTTGCCTTCTCCCTTGTTCTCTTTACTCAGCAGGCTTCATGTAGTGTCCTTTCCTATGGCACCCTCATGGCTCCTTGGGATTCCCCACTTCCTCACTGGAGGATGGGCTCCTGGGATGCTGAGGGTTCATCATCACTGGAAGCTTACATGGCCCCCATCTGCACTCTGCTCTCCCCACGGGAAATTCTTGGCCTCAAGAGATTCAGGCCAAGATCCCTGCAGCAGAAAAGTCTGTAGGACCTTCCCTACCACAATGGCCCCGCTGCACATGTGGCTTCTCCTTCTGGGGAGCCCAGAGCTACCATCCCCACTACTACCCCTTGCATGGCTTCTGTTCTAGGTATCAAGGCCTACAGGAGCCTCACAACATTGTGTCCACAGGTACCGTTTCCCACCATGGTGGCGTTGTTGTGTATGTGGTTCGGGATCTCCCTGCCCCTTGTCTACTTGGGCTACTATTTCGGCTTCCGCAAGCAGCCATATGACAACCCTGTGCGCACAAACCAGATTCCCCGGCAGATCCCTGAACAACGGTGGTACATGAACCGATTTGTGGGGTGAGTCTTGACAGAGGTAAACAGGGGGCTTCCAGGGTGGGCAACAACAGTACTCCCTTAAGCCATCTCCTTAGCAGAACATGAAGAGGCTACCTTCGCAGAGCGATGCTGGGATCAGTCTGCAGCTGCAGCAAGTATACAACTAGATGGCCCGCAAGCTCAGCTTCATGTCACGATGAAGACAAGATGCTGCAGACTTGATGTCTGCTTAGAAACTAGGTCAGGGAAGCAGGGAGGTGGAAGCTGGCCGAGGTTAAGACCTTTGCTTAAGCTGGGGATATAGCTCAGTGTAGAACACTTACTTACCTAAGATGCACACTACTCTAGGTTCAGTCTCCAACCAAAAGCCACATGGAATCATTGTATTAAGGGAAAAAAGGAGAGGCTGGAGAGATGGCTCAGCAGTTAAGAGGACTGACTGACTGCCCTTCCAGAGGTCCTAAGTTCAATTCCCAGCAACCACATGGTGCTCACAACCATCTGTAATGGGATCTGATACCCTCTTCTGGTGTGTCTGAACACAGCTACCATGTACTCATATACATAAACAAATCCTTGAGAAAAAAAAAAGGAGCTGGACAGTGGCAGTACACACCTTTAATCCCAGTATTCAGGGGACAGAGATGAGTTTGAAGCCAGCCAGTCTACAGAGCAAGTTCTAGAACTACACAGAGAAACCTTTCTCAAAAAAACAAAAGAACAACAACAAAAAAAAGATGACCCCTGGGCAGGTCAGTCCCTATTCTACCAGAGGTCCCATCTATGGACTGAAGAGAGCTTTGGCCACCCTGCTCTTTTCCCAAGAAGATATAATGGATCCCAAATGGCAAACCTTAGACCTACCACCATGTAGCCTTCTCTGTCCTGATGCTTACAAGCGAGCATGGGCTTCTCGATGGCCAGGGTCTCCACAACATTAACGCTCCTTCTCTGCTGCAGCATCCTCATGGCTGGGATCCTGCCCTTTGGTGCCATGTTCATTGAGCTCTTCTTCATCTTCAGTGTGAGTACTGCTGACTCCTCTCCTTTCTACACACAGCCTTGCCACGCGAGCCTGTCGGGACAGTCATAAGAGATCATCAAGCCCTGCCGTGCACGCGGGGCTGGCGCATGGGAAGGGCTCAGCACACAGAAGCTCTCTCTGGCCTCGAGCACCAGGCATCCATGTTGTGTAAACATACATACAGGCAAAACATTCATACATACAAAATAATTTTTAAACTTTTTTTTTTTTTTAAAGAAAGGCAAAGGGGCTGGAGAGATGGCTCAATGGTTAAGAGCACTGATTGCTCTTCCAAAGGTCCTGAGTTCAATTCCCAGCTACCACATAGTGGCTCAAAACCATCTGTAATAGGATCTGATGCTTTCTTCTGGTGTGTCTGAAGACAGCTGCAGTGTAGTGTACTCATATACATAGAATAAATAAATAAATCTTAAAAAAAAAAAAAAAGGCAAGGCAAAGAGCAGGTGTGGTGAGGCCTTCACTCCCAGCCGCGGATCTGGGGAGCAGAGAGAGGCAGGCAGGGCTTTAAGGTCGGTCTGATGACAAAGTTCCAAACAGCCAGAGTCAGAGAAACCCTGTCTTGAAAAGAAAAACGTCAAGGTAGTTGGCCAACACAGAACAAACTCACTCATATTTCTGTGGACTCTGTCTCCGTTTGCTCTGTTTGGGCTTCTTTATTTCTTTATTCTTAAGTGGTTTCTTTGTTTTTCTTTGTGGTGTTTGTGAGGTTCTTGGGTGTTCTTTCTTTCTTTCTTTCTTTCTTTCTTTCTCTCTCTCTCTCTCTCTCTCTCTCTCTCTCTCTCTCTTTCTTTCTTTCTTTCTTTCTTTTTGGTTATTTGTTTTTCTTAAAAAAGACAGAACATAAAACTAAGTGGGTAGGTAGATGGGTGGGCAGAATGGGAAGGGGAAAACATCAAAATACCTTATATGAAAAAATTTTTCAATAAAAGCTTTTTTCAGAAAAGGTCAAGAGGGGCTGGAGAGATGGTTTGGTGGTTAAGAGCACTCACTGGCTGTTCTTCTAGAGAACCTGAGTTCAATTCCCAGCATCCGTGTGGCAGGTCACTGCTGTCTGTAACTAGTCACATGGGATCCAGTACCTTCTTCTGGTGTGCAAGTGTACATTTAGGCAAAACACCCATATATATATAAATAAATAAAACTTAAAACCCCCCCCCCCCAAAAAAAATAAAGGTCATGCAGGCCTGAAGGCTACAGCATGTACATGCTGTGGGGCAAGCTCAGTGGGAGCAGCTTCTGTATTGATCTGGGTGAGAGTGGGAGCCCTGGTGGAGGTGTTCTGATGGAAGCATCTGCTGAGTAGGGCACTGAGGTAAGCATGCCTCTGAAGCCATCTCTGGTGCCCACAGGCAATCTGGGAAAACCAGTTCTATTACCTCTTCGGTTTCCTGTTCCTCGTTTTCATCATCCTAGTGGTGTCCTGTTCACAAATCAGCATCGTCATGGTATACTTCCAACTGTGTGCAGAGGTGAGCGGAGTGGGCCAGTAGGTGGAGGGAGGGGTGGGAAGAAGATAGGACAAATCCAACACTGACCATCTTCATGGGGCTTTGGGGAGAGGGTGGATATCCTCTGCGGAATGCTGCCTCAGATTGTCTCGCTCCCCTACCCAAGCCCTTTTCCACTCTACCCTGGAGCTGATGATGCCCACCTCACAGCATAGCCATGATCTGTCAGTATCAGACCCACTCCAGTAACTCCAGTTGGCAGGTACAGATTGTTGTCCTGCCTTCCCCATAGGAGTTAGCTATTACAGAGTGGATACGGGCCCAGGTAGGCAGTAGATAGGCCATAACCCAGGCTGAAATTCAGCTCTTCCACTAGGAGAATAGTGTGGAGGTTACCTCAGTGACCCTCACCCATGGGAAGTATATGCTCAAACAAACTTACTTATTACTATTTTTTATTGATCTTTTAAAAAGTTGAGATACGATTTTTGGGGTTTTTTTTTCGTTGTTGTTGTTGGTTTTGTTTTGTTTTGTTTTGTTTTTCAAGACAGGGTTTCTCTGTGTAGCCCTGGCTGTCCTGGAACTCACTCTGTAGACCAAGCTGGCCTCGAACTCAGAAATCTGCCTGCCTCTGCCTCCCAAGTGCTGGGATTAAAGGCATGCGCCACCACTGCCCGGCTGAGATATGATTTATAAGCAGTAAAATGTACCCATTTTAATCTGGAATTCTGTGATGTTTAGAGATAAATCCAGATGTGGGACTATCATCACAATCAAGCTATAAAACATTTCATTATCCAAATGTGACTCTTCTTACCTAGAGTCTTGAACCCCGCTGTTGACCATGAGATTTGTGGGATGATACCCTGGACCCTACCGTGACCCTTCCTTTCTTTCCTGTCTTTGCCCCTTAGGATTACCGCTGGTGGTGGAGGAATTTCCTCGTCTCAGGGGGATCTGCATTCTACGTCTTGGTTTATGCCATCTTCTATTTTGTTAACAAGGTACTACCTGCCCTGAGACCCCCCCTTAGCCATCTCTGGGCAGGTTGGTGGGGGAGGAAGAGGCTATTGATAGGAAGCCAAGTGTCTGGAGTGTGCTTTTACATCCAGAGTGGAGGTGACCAGAGCCATTTAGAAGTGTGTTGTATGTTTGGGAACAAACCTTCGGTCTGAATAACAATGAGAATGGTATGTGAAGAAACCTGTGAGATTCTTGGAACATAAAGGCAATATGGCCTATAATCACAGCACTGGGAGGCTGAGTATGGAAGAGTTGAAGGTGAGGTATTTTTGTAAGTAAACAAGATGATTCCTGCTGTGACTAGTGTGGTGTGTGTACTGGAACCCCGGTTTGAGGTGGTGACATAACGAGGAGGACAGACCACACATACAGGAAAGCTGCGATCACCCACAGTCTACTGTCACTGGTAACCCAGAATCTCTGTGGGTTCATTATGGTTAGAGCACAGGGGAAGGGTTGGCTAGTCTTGCTAAGAGGTCTATGTAGGCAAGCAGTCTAAGGTTGGAGGAGGAAGCTGCAGTTGCTAGTCTTTGCACACACTGGTCATTCATTCATAAACACTTAGACTTCTGAGGAAAGCTTTGCCATTCCTCTTGAGCCTAGCATTGGACGTGGCTGTGTTCATGTCACTCAGTTGGGGCTTCCTCTGCTCCCTCTACCTCTCAAAGGCAGAAAGTTACCTACATCGATCGCTTCTACCCAGAAGTAAGGCTGATAGTACAGTACTCCCCTCCAGACACAGGAAAAGGACAATAACATGAAAGTAAAGACAGTTGAAAGGAATAAATAGAGATAAAATCAGGCTAGGGAACTGGCTCCATATATAAGGTACTTCTGTGTTAGCTTGAGGACCTGAGTTTAATGCTCCAAAACCCACATAAAAAACTGAGAACAGCAGCGTGCATCTGTAGACCCAGCACTGAGAAGGTGGAGGCAGGTTCCTTAGTATTTTGGGGCAGCCTGTCTGGTCTGGTGAGTTCCAGGTTTTGAGAGGCCCTGTCTCAAAAATAAAGTGGAAAATAATTGATGAAGACACGCAGTGTTTATACCTCTGGCTTTCACACCCATGTGCACACACATTTGGATGTGCACACAAGTATACATATCCAAAGACAAAGGTAGACTATTCACCGTGTCTCTCGGGCTCCTTCTCTTCACTCAAGTACTCCTTACTTCTGCCCAGTGAAAAGAGAATGAGCCGAGGTTAGACTTGTGTCTTGGGGGCCTGCTTGCTGCATGAGCTCACACAAGTTAAGCGTGGGCTAGTAATCAACAGGAGGCTGGCCCTGGCTTAGCAACTAGGGCAAACCAGATGGGCCAGTTAGAGGAGTTTGGGGAGGCTTTGGTAAGAACCTCACCTCCAACATTGGAGATTTCACATGCTTTACTACCTCTGTAGCCCAAAAGGAAAGCAGTCCTCTGCCTGCGGCCAGGGCGTGTTTGCAGAATAAGAGTTGTCGATCCAGTGGGTGAAATTTGGAATGCCCAAGTTTCCCCAAAATCCTAGGTTGTAGAAATGGCTCCTAGATGGTCTGATGCAGGGCTCCACCCAGGAGCTTCTGCAGTCCCAGCAGATGATCACTTCTGCTTCAGAGCTCGGCAGCCTCGTTCCCAGGCCAGTAGGCTGCTCTTTAAAGAACATTTTATTGGAACACAGCTGTGCACAGTCATTCACATGTCCTCTGGCTGCCTTCACACTGCAGTGACAGTCGAGTAGTTGTAAACCACAAAAACTAGAAAACTGGGGGAGGAATAAAAATCTTTGCGGCCCTTCAGACAAGGTTTGCTGGTCCAGCAACAGATGTCTGTCTGTCTCTCTCTCTCTCTCTCTCTCTCTCTCTCTCTCTCTCTCCCCTGTTCTCTCACTGGACAGCTCCTGACGGAGTGCGTGAAGCTGTTCCACACCTCAGCCTGCCCCGTGTGCTTACATCTCAGCTTTATTCCTAGATTCTTCCCACTTCAATACACTATTTAAATCAGAACTTTGGTGACGATCAGGTTTCCAAAACTCCACTGAAACTGACTGAGCAAAGAGAATCCTTTGGCTGATAGAGCTGCATGGTTTAGGAAGTGGGGGTCTTCAGACTGCTAGGCTCAGCGTCTGAGTCGTCAGAGCTCTGTGCCCACACCTCAGCTCTGCTGATGTTTTTCTAGTTTCTGTCTGTAGGTAGGATCTTTCTATAAAGTAGAAGGCAGTCTCTGGCAGCCTTGGTGTCTCAACTTTTCTGTTTCCATAGCACTGAAACCTCAGTGGTTTCTTCTGCCGTTGAATATTGCTTCCAGAGAAGACCTCCGAGGCTCTGCTGTGGACACACGCCCCTCCCTTTGCTTGCTGGGCCGCTGTGCTCTGATGGACCACATGGTTCTGTATTAGGAATGGTGGTATCAGTAAGGCACTAGAGGAGGAGAATATTTGCCAAAACACCTGGCAGGCAGAGGCTGGGGCCAGTGCTGGGCAAACACAAGTTAGAGATCTCATAGCTTCTTGCTCTTCCTCTGCCAGCCTCATCCACCCTCTCTGTCGGAAATCCAGCAAGCCTACTCCCAGGCTCTTTGATAGATGATGTCTTTAGCTGACCTGAATTCAGGAAGGACCCCATCAGCCTTTCCTTTTTGCTCATTCTCTTCCTGATTTGACCACTGTCTTGTTCCTTTCCCCTCCTACCTCCTTCACCCCATCCACGGTCATGAAAAGTGTGCACATGAGAGATGGCAGAGCCATTTGAGGGGAGCCTACAGCCATGGCCTTCACACTTTAGGCTTAGAAGCTCTTGGACAGGGACCTATATTTCTTCCTTTGATTTTTTTGTTTTGTTTTGTTTTTCTGGGCTTGTTGTATTTTGTGACTGTGTATCTACCCATGAGCCCTAGGCCAGGCCCTTTCAAGGCCAGTGCACTTGGCACATATCAAGGTGCCAGTGAGCTGTGTATTCTCTTCTACCACCAAACATCACACCACCAATCTCTTTCATGTCTACCTCCCTTACTAAAGAGGCCAGTGTGCTCCAAGATAACAAGCGTTGTGAGCTATTGGAGATGCATCCAGCATCCTCAGGGACAGAGGACTGTAGACTGAGGCAAACTGATGATGGTACCATAGTCCTTAAGCCTGGAGCCTTGGGGGTCTCCCCTCACCTGCCCTCCCTCTTGACTCTGATGCTGCTCCAACCGTCCAGGAGTATTGTGGTGCTGTTATGGGACAGTGGGCCAGGAAGTAGGGCAGCTGTGTCCATTTCTACCTGACTCCCAAGATTACAAGACCCAAGGCAATACTCTGGCCCTAGTTAGCCTTCTGCTGTGAGCCCTGTCACCTTGCCAGGCAGGTGTCGATTGCACAAGATTGTGGATGGGCAGCATATCTTAGTTACTTATCTGTTGCTGTGATTATAAACACCATGACCAAAAGCAACTTGGGGAGAAAAGGGTTTGTTTGGCATACACTTCCACATCTAGTGCCATCATTGAAGGAAGTCAGGACAGGAACTCTTTACAGGGCAGGAACCAGGAAGTAGGAGCTGATCAAGAGGCCATGGAAGAATGTTCTACAGCTGGGTCTCTCAGGGAGGCACTTTCTCAATTGAAGTTCCCTCCTTTCAGATGACTCTAGCTTGTATATCAAGTTGTTATAAAACTAGCCAGCACAGGGTTTGCAGTTTGCCACAGCACACAGCTGCCTGGTATTAACCATCCATCTCCCTTTCCTCTGCCTTCCTTCGCCCCAGCTGGACATCGTGGAGTTCATCCCTTCTCTCCTCTACTTCGGCTACACCACCCTCATGGTCCTGTCCTTCTGGCTGCTCACAGGGACCATCGGCTTCTATGCAGCCTACATGTTTGTCCGCAAGATCTACGCTGCTGTGAAGATAGACTGAGTGGGTGGACCAACGCTGGGCCCGCTGGACCCTCGGACAGGAAGCCGCCTTTCGTGGGGAACTGCAGGCACACAAAATAAAATAACTCCTGCTATTTGGAATGTAACTCCGGCACAGTGTTCCTAGACCCCCAGGCTGCATGGGGGCAGGAGGGCCTGTAGATAACCCTGCCATTTCCTTCATCTCATCCAGTCTGTAGGGATACATTTTTTTTCTGTGGTGGTTTTTCTTCAGCAGGCGCTTTCTGACCTGTTAATTTAGGTTCTTTTTGGTTTGGTTTTGGGTTTTCATTGTTGTTGCTGTTTGATTTTAGGTTTTTATTTTTGGCTTTTTTTTTTTTTTTTTTTTTTTAAAAAAAAAATGCAGATCCAGGATGGATAAATGTGGGGTTTTGGTCACTGTCCCCATCAACTCCTCAGAGTTGTTGGTCACCCTACCACAAGCTGGAAGAGGAAACACCGGGGCTGCAGTGAGGGCTCCCAGCCTCTCATTGCCCACCTTCATCACCGATGCCACGACAACACAACTGCAGCCCAGACAGTAACCTCAGTGCCAACCAAGCCCTGCCAGCCCCTCCTCCCATTCTCTTCCCAGCCTGCCCTCTGCCGCCCAAAACAAGGCTGCCAGCCAGGCCTTTGGTCATCGTTTTGACTGGGAACACTTGGTCACTACAAGGACATGTCCTGGTTCCCTGGACAGCAGGATCCCCTCATCAAAGCAGCCAGAGTTTGCTGACCACCAAGGATGAAATGAGACCTCCATTGACTGTTCTTGTGCCAAGAAGCCCTGGGTCAGGGCAAGTGTCTCCAGAGCCAAGTGCCCATGTGTGTATGGGAAGAGGTGGCTAAAGCCACTAGACTAGGGTGCTCACCCCTCAAGATTGATTCCCAGTCTTTCCCTCAGGGGCGCCGCTCTTTCTAAAGGGTAATGGTGGACCCCTTCCCTCACTTTCAGGTCTGGAGTCTTCAGATCTCTTCCTTGAGGTAGCCAGGGAGAGGAAGACTCTCATGGCCATTGGCCCCAGCATTTATTCTCAGTTCTTTTAGCCAGACCCACCCCCTCTTCCTCCCATGCAAGTTCTTTTGGGGACACCCAGAAAACTTCCTTGAGAAGGAAAATGGAAGGTAAGTTGGGTTGCTCCTTTCCCAGTTCCTAGGAATAGGCAAGAAGCCAGTCTCCCCAAGTTGGAAGAGGCTCATGTACCTGGCCTGGCTCCTTCACCCTACCCTAGACCCTGCAAACCCTGTGCAAGTCACAGAGTTTGCTCTTAAGTAGCAAGAGACCAAACCCACCTTGGGTGTAGGGGTCGGTAACAGCCACTCGCCCCTGCTCTAGGCCTGCGGGAACCTTCCAGGAGACAAAGCTCAGGGTGCCGCTTAGGAACACACCCTGCCCCTCGCTGCCCCACCTCCCTCCTGGGGCCCTACCTCCATCATCCGTCAAATCAGTGCACCTCTCAATCTTGCCTCGAAGTGACTTTGCAGCACTGAGCGGCGTCCACCAAGAATCAGGCTGGAGAAATGGGAGCCCAGAGAGTGGAGAGTGATCGGGAGTTACTTGTTCATTCAAATCTTGCACCCACCCCCCAGGGTTCTCATTGTGGGGGAGGGGTGGGGGAAAGGTTCAAACATTGTCAATTTTTCTGACTTTTTAAATCATCATCATTATTTTTAATTAAAACAAATGCCTGTATGCCTTTTTCTGGTCCAATTGTAAATAAAATGCCATGGTCCTGTTGTCTTGACTCACATACAAGGGTATGGATATTGAAGAATGACCATTTCACCAGATGGGTTGAGTGGCTGCTTTTGCATCTCAGCGTCCCACCTGGGTTCTGTAGGATTCAGGCCTTTGCTATTTTGTGCCTGCTGTAAGCTACTGCTCAGCCCAACGAGCATTTGCTCCTCTGAGTAAGTGGAAAGTAGCAGACATGTAGGATGCACATAAAAATGAAACCTAGTGTGAGGTTCTGAATTTGCTTCACTCTGTGTCAAGTAGAATGCTTTCAAAGCAATAGAAATTTAGGGCCAAGCATCGCAGAACTTGGGAGGCAGTATTGGGTAGCTCTCTGTTGAGTTTATGGCCACTTTGAGCTATATATAGTAAATCCCCTGGGGTAAGGTCCTGAGTAGATAGGACTGGTTCATAAGGACAATGTAGGCTTTACTTAGGTCTGGCTGGATTCAGAGATGCAAATGGGAGCCTTAAGACTCTCCCTTGTGGCCGGCCCAGTGATGGCGCACACCTTTAATCCCAGCACTTGGGAGGCAGAGGCAGGCGGATTTCTGAGTTCGAGGCCACCCTGGTCTACAGAGTGAGTTCCAGGACAGCCAGGGCTACACAGAGAAACCCTGTCTACAAAAACAAAAAAAAAAAGACTCTCCCTTGTGTTTTTCTGGCCTCATTCTGTCCCATTTTCAACTGTCTTCCCTATAAGGAAAGCAGGAAGGTCCAGCACAGATGTTCTAGGCTTACATTGTCCAATTTGATATGCCCATAAAAGGAGAAAGACAGCTTTCCTATGTCACTGTATTTGAGAATCTAAAGTCAGTATGGAAATCCAAAGAAAGATTTTGTTTGGCTACCTTATATTTGTGTATCTTCTATATCTTGAAAGAGACAGTACTGGGGTTAAATGTTGCCACCTCACCCGGCTGTCATTTTCCTTTGATATGTTGAGCATTTCCTTAGTCATCTGTCATCCACATGTCTTTTTGTCTTTTTTGGTTTTTTTCAGATGACTCTGGCTTCTGTAGACCAGGCTGTCCCCAAACTGGAAGAGATCCACCGGCCTCTGCTTCCCAAGTGCTGGAATTAAAGATATGCACTACCAGTGGCAGGTCACTTGCCTTCTTTGTTTTGTTCAAATCTGCCTTTTGGGGCGTATGGGGGTCTGATTTTTAGGTTTTCACAATACAAGTCTTTTATCAGATAAGTGCTTTGCAAATTTTTTCTCTTAAGTCTGTGGCTTGTATTTTTGTTGTTGTTGTTGTTGTTGTCTTGAAAAAGTTTCAATTCTTTTTCTTAGAACAAAGAGAATGGCAGTTAGTACCAATTAAGATTGCAAAGCCAGCAAGCACAGATTCAGCTGGAGTTACAGGCAGGTGTGAGCGACCCAGCACAGGTGCTAGGAACTGATCCGAGGCTTCCTGCCAACACAGTATACACTTAACCATTGACTCATATTTGCAACCCCTTTATTATGGTTTTTGGGTTGTTTTTTTAAGATTTAGTTATGTATGTGTGTACAGTGTTCCTCTCTTCAAACACACTAGATGAGATCATCAGATCCCATTACAGATGGCTGGGAGCCACCATGTGGTTGCTGAGAATTGAACTCAGGACCTCTGGAAGAGCAGTCAGTGCTCTTAACCACAGAGCTATCTCTCCAGCCCCCTTTTATCATGTTTTTATACTTTCAAATTAATGACTTTATTCTTGCATTGATCTTGATGATTACCTATACCATCCTCCTTTTTACTTTTTAACTATCATATACCATATACAAATATCTTATACCTCTTTTTTTTTTAATTGTTCCCTTTGGGGGGGGCGGTGAGTACAGGGAACTTGTTATGTAGACCAGGCTGGCCTCAGACTCAGAGATACCACTTCCCCTTCCTCTGAAGTGCTGGGATTGAAGGCCTGTGCTACCACCCTCAGCTATATTCCTTATAAATACCAAAACTCAACTGAAGGGGCTCCTGGTTTTGAAGGTGGCTGCCCACACTTCTTTGTCCACAACTTAAAGACAAATGCTAAGAAGTCTGAACTACAGTCAGCTTATCAGGTGGTCCCCGCAGGGGCTGATTTTGATGCCATCCCGAATGTATCTTTGCCTAACGTATGACTACAGGCACTGTCTGGGTCTTGGTGTCTCTCTCTCTCTCTCTCTCTCTCCCCCCTCCCTCAATTAATTATTTTTTACATGTGGATGTTTTGCTTGTATGTGCACCACATGCCTGCCTAATGTTTGCTGAGGCCAGAAGAGGGTGGGGGAAATTGAACCTGGGTCCTCTGGAAAAGCAGCCAATGCTCTTAACGGCTGAGCCAGCTCTTTAGCTCTTGTTTTGTTTTGTTTTGTTTTGTTTTGTTTTGTTTTGTTTTGTTTTGTTTTGTTTTGTTTTAAGAAGCTTTATTAGTTACACTAAGGTCTGTGATCCATTTTAAGGAAGTCCTAATAATAGGATAAAGACGAGATCCAGTTCCCACCCGCAGTGAGATCTGTTGATCTGCATGAGAATTAATAGAACGATATCTCCTCCTCCTTTAGTATAAACATTGGGATAACAGGCTTCCTTATTTTTTTCTGTTCCTCCGCTCACCATGTGGACTGTGTGTGTGTGTGTGTGTGTGTGTGTGTGTGTGTGTGTGTGTGTTAAATATATATAATCATATATAATATATATTCTTTAGAGATCAAGACTTGACACCTTTTAAACCCATTCTGTGACCCCTAAGTCTTTTCCTGGTAACATTACTGGTCCTTGCCAGATTAACCTGAAACACTTCACCTGCCATGACTTAGCTTCATCTTTCTCAACACTGTAAGGCAGCCTGCAGCACAGTAGGCTCACCCTCAGGCCCTGGCCCAGGCCCAGGCCCAGCCTGGTTCATGCTTGTCAACAGGACAAGGGTCCATGTGCCCAGACAGGAGAATCCAGTCTCCACAGTGCTTAAGAATTGCCATAGCAGCCTCAGAGCTGCAGTTCAAATCTGTTAACATGGACACTGGGAGCCGCATACAGACCTTACCTGAAGCTAGCTCTAGCTGCCACACTCTGAGCTCACTGTTTTACACTTGGATGTCTGCTTAGTTGGTTTGTTACCATTGGTTGTTCTTTGCCTTCGAGCCTTTAACAGAAGTCACTTGTTCTCTCTGAGTGGTTTCTTTCTGGATTTCTATTCTGCAGCTCTGTTTGCTCTTATGCTACTACTGTACTTTGTTATAGCTTTTTATTTTCACATTTGTATACAAATTTCACATTCATGCTTACAAACGACAAGAGCAGTCTAGGAACCTGGGCAGCTGCAACACGAACTCTACAGTCAGTCTCATCCCAGATGCCCCAGTTCTAAATCAGCAAACCGAGAAAGTGCTCACCTTCTTTGACTGAACCAAGACTCCATCTTGTTCCAGGCTAAGTCTGGGGCTGGAAAGATGGCTCAGTGAATACATGCTTAGTGTACAAGCATGAGGGGCTGGTTTTGAATCCCCAGCACCCACGAAGAGAATGGCTATGGTCACACACACCTGCAGCCTGTGCTGTAGGAAGCAGAGACAGGATTTCTAGCTGATAGTCTGGCTCCAGACCCTGCCTCAAGGGAGTACAGCTGGGAGTGACAGCGCTAACATCCTTCTTTGGCCTCTGCATATGACTGAACAAATGCCGTTCTTTTAACATGTTCTTTAGTTGCTTTAAAATTACACAGAACCTTACCAAAAGATGTGGTGACTACTGCACTGGCACTGGACACCTACACTTATGATTCAACAACAGGATGATCATTTCCAGGACCAAGCCTCCGCCCCAGGCCAAGGATTCAGTCCTACTGACTAGGATGCTAAGTGCACAGCATCCACAACAAAGCCCCCATCCACATCAAACCTCAAGTTGGGCCAAAGAGTTGGCCATTGGTACCAGAAAGAATACAAAAGAAAATAGCAGAAATACAGCTAGGACTTCTGAGAGTGTCGTGAGGTATGGTAAAGCTGCTCTTTGGCAGCAGAGACACAGGAGTCTTCCAAAGAGCCTACAAGGTTTATATTCGACGTTTCCAGTTCCTGGGTGTCTAGTCCTAGGAGTTGCTCAATGATTTTCTGCTCTCCTTGGAAAACCTCTGGGTTTTCAGGCAGTTTTATGTGTTTCCTGTTTGGTAGATGAGAGACAAATGCTGTTCTACTGGCATGGGGTTAACCACATGAGCACTGGGAGGTCTTGCCGAAGTCCCCACTTGTCTCCTGTGTTCAGTTAGTACAGTACACATGGCAGCGTTGCTGTGTTTGTGCCATCGTGTGCATTGTGTCCTCTGTGTCATCAAGCTTTGGCAGAGGAAACCCAGGAAGTGGTCTGTTAAGACCAAGTCAAGTTACTCTTCCTGTTACTATGATAAAGCAATTTAAGGGAAGGGTTTATTCAGCATTACAGTTGGAGGAGATACATTCCATCAGGACGAAGTCATAGCAGGAGCATAAGGTGGCTGGTCACATGGCATCCATAGTCATGAAGCAGACAGCTATGAGTACTAGGTACTAGTCTTGGACTTCCTTTCTCCTTTTTAGTTTGGTGCAGGACCGCAGCCCTTGAAACCACAATTTAAGTAGGGCTTCCAGTTTCAATTAACCTAATCTATATAACCCCTCACAGACATGCCCAGTGGCTAACCTAAATATAGATAATCACACACACACACACACACACACACACACACACACACACGTATCTGGAAGCTTGTCTCGTGCTGAGACTTCATCCTATCACTTTGACAATCAAAACCATCACAGGCCTCAAGGGCATTCTTCAATGGGGAGGCTTTTCAAACCTTCTCTTCCTGTTAGATTCACACCATCCTGTAGACAGTGGTTCTGACCATGTGTGTGCATGCAGGTGCTGAAGTGAACTGTTGGGCACAGTCTTGGAAGTGCCAGGCACTGTGCACAAGTGATGGTCAGCTGGGGACAGCTCACTCGCTGAGTGCTGAGTCAGCTTCCTGACTGGCCACTACTGACACCACAGACCACAGCCAACA